CGTCCAAAAATATTTAATTATTTCTTATTGTAGATATATCGAGTTCTTCTGTAACATCTTGGTTTTTTATCCTGTCCGATCGAATGTATTTTTTTGTTTCAACAGATTGTAACCTGCTTTGGTCGCGCCATAGCTCAAGCGGTTAGTCGCTGGATTCCCACCGCGACGGCCCGGGTTCGATCCCGGGTTTGGTCAAGTGGGATTTGTGGTGGACAAAGCGGCTCTTGGGCGGGTTTTCTCCAAGTACTTCGGTTTCCCCTGCCAATCTTCATTCCACCAAATTCTGCATCATCATAATCAACCGGGGCAGGCTACAATAGGCCAATCAGTGGCCCCTGTGCCGAGTGGACCCAGTTTGACTCCACCTCCCACTAAGCAAATTAAGAAAAAAAACCTACTTTCGTCTCTCTTCAAAACCTAAACTTCAGTTCCATAAAATAGAACATGGACTGTCATTTACTTTATAGAATGTAATCAGTTTTTGCATATTGACAGCGTTTCATGAAATAAATTGATTATATACCTGCAGAGAGGGAGCCGTGATAGCGTAGTTGGTATAGCGACTGGCTATGGGCTGGAGGAACGAGGGTTCGGAGTTCGAGTCCCGGTAGTATAAAAAATGTTTACTTCTCCAATCGTCCAGACTGGCTCTGAGTTTCACCCAACCTCCTTTACAATGGGTACCGGGGGCTCTTTCCCGTGGGTAAAGATGCCGGGGCGTGAAGCTGACCACTCACCTCCAACTAGTGCCGAGGTCAAGAAAATATGGATCTATACATCGACTCCCCCATACGTCTTCATGGCGTAGTGCTTGGTTAGTTGAGCACAGGGACAATTTCACCTTTTTACCTACAAAGAAGGATCAGATTTTGAATTATATTTTGAGATATTTCTGTCTATACACAGCTGATGAAATATTTATAACAATTCCATATTTTATTTAATTACTTAAACAATTTATTACTGGAGTTTAAAGGAATTTAACGAAATAAACAGTGTTCTTGTAGACATTTATAAATCTAATAATTATTAATTATTTAATTACGTGCTAATATAATGATCATGTCATATGAGATGTGTGTTTACTGAAAGGTAAAGGCCATAGTTTGAAATAAGCCCTATGATTTCTGCTACGGTACTCAAGAAGACGACAGGCAGCACGAGAACACAAAGAAATGAACAAGAAAAGAGGGACAAGTAAACCAAATTAAAAGAAGCAAGAATTTTTACATGCAACCTATTGACCTAGTGATATTGTGACATATAAACAACATTACTCGAATCTTGTCACTGCAAAAGCAAAAAAAATGGGGAACCTATTTACGTCGGATTCCGTATTGATACCTCATTGCAATTTTACTGACAGCTGCAGCTACACTACGGACAGGTTTTACAAAAACGAATTAGGTTTAGTCTGCACAGAAATTTCACTACATAGAGATGAATGTTGGCATATCAAAATCGTTTATAATTGAACTGAAAATGTTCGCTCCCACTGGATTGTTCGTTTCTTATTTTCTAATTAATTATTAATTTATCAATTTTGCATATTGATTTTAATACAGTTACATTTAATTTTTATTTCCCTGTCAATATATTTTATTTTATTTCTACCACCTCTATACTTAATTATGTATTCATGTTTTGTTTATTTATAACTTTGTTCGTTTGTTACAAATACATATATCTTGCATGTGGAAGGTCTTCGTGCAATGGCTAGCACTCCTGCCTCGTACTCTGGATGTCTTGGATTCAAATCTTGGTCCGGATACCGGCTAGCGAGATTGAGTTTTTCTCTGTTTTCCTTAGTTCCTCCAGGCAAATGACAAACTCATATCCCTGCTTGTACGTTTTAATATTAAGTTAATTAAGAGGTAAAACTTACGACTCATATCTGGGTTAAAATTATTGAAAATGTGGAATCTTATATTAAGGCACAATCGTTTCCTTCCACATCCTTTCAATTGATCGTTATATATCCTTATATATCAATAAATTAATATTTTATATAGGAGAATTTTCGAAATTCTCTAGAGTAACTCCTGTATAAATTTTTGTATAATTTACTTCCATTATATAAAACATAACGATAAAAAGAGGGTTATATTTGCTCACTGAAATATTTTGTCTCTATAATTTCACCGTCAGGCACCAGTCCAGGTCTTAATAATGAAATATGTAACAAATTTGCCCATCTCTATTTCCCTTTAGCAAGGAAGACCTAAGGAAATTTACCTTTATGGGATGGTCCCAAGTTCAGGCTTAGAGTCTGTTTCAAATTGTCACTCGATTTTTGGTTTTAGTAAAAGTGAATGAGGATAAAATATATATTATGTAAGGAAGATAAAACGATATAAATAAATGAAAGTAATAGATTTGTTAGAGGGCTTAAACGAATTATTTTTTGCCTGCTTTTCCTGCAAATTTATTTTTTTTTATTAATTTCTATTTAATCTATTTATTTTTGTGTTTGAGAAGCACTTCAATTAAAGTACGAGACAGAATAAAATATAAAAAAGCCCTAACACAATAATAAAATAACAATTTTGAATACAAATGAAGAAAATATTACCATATACAAATCTGACAAGAGGCAAAAAGGAAATAAATTTACGAGTATAATAATAAATTTCTTTATTAAATTTTTAGAGTTTTCTTTTCAGAATTTGGGCTTCTGGATTTTCACATCATGTAGTCTGGTATGTGGTTACTTAGAGCTCGGATGGGCATATTGCATCAATATCTAGGTTGCGTGAACATGGAAAAGTTGATAACCACCTACCAGACCACAGTGCGTCAAAATCCAAAAGACTACAATGTAAATCTTTACCACTTTAAATACCACAAATCTAAAAATATATACTCGTATATACTTTTAGATTTGTGGTATATATATATATATATTCATTCATTCATCAGTAATCTGTCAAGACGACAGGTCCACAGTCTCTTCCAAAACAGTTCCTCCACTTGATGCGATCTAGAGCTTTCTCCTTCAAATGAAACATCTCGCATACATGGTATCTCTGGTTTTGGAAAGAGACTATCCAGGAAAAGTGATAATGTGGTAGTTTTTCCATTTGCTTTCCACATCGCAGTACAACAGCCGTTCAAACCACTCTGGTCACGCCTGTTGCTATACGAACTTGAACCATCTCGAGCATCATTTGCTCTGTGCTTCAAGTCGCTGCTGATGACGCTGCTTCCGGCATCAGTTTTTGGTGTCTCTCTTCGTCTGATGCCTACCCTTTGACCTGTCCAGCAAGGGAGGCCCTGCCAGTAGCTACGCTACCGCTGGTATAGCTCTCAGGGTCCTTGGCATACTCAAACCCCCTCACCACGATAAGGTGGAGCCACCAACGAGGGTGATATATATATATATTACACCTTACCCATCTCAGATTTCAGAATTCAAATTGAATTGGTTGCGTTTCTCAAGAATTGCTAGTGGTATAGAAGATTGGCAGAAAATTCAAAGTATAGACTTCCTTGAGTCCTACTACTGTGACTTGAGCATCTTTTGGATGCACGTATGTGATGTATCTAATTATATGCGAGGAAATTTTGTGACTCCACAGTGTTACAAAGTTTAGTTAGCTCTGCAACGTCAGGCGTGCAACTTGGAAACCAGCAGCCTATTAAGAATCGCAAGAAACACGTTTAGAGTGTTTGTGTATCGAAAAGTTGAATACATCTGTCCAGCGGTGTTTAAGCATACTCTGAATAAAACCAGTCGTCATGTAAATATTCGACGTTCTGAGTGCCTGAAGATCTCGATATATGTATATTCCTGTAAATACCCTTTGTTTCCAATAAAATTACTGGTGAAATACTAGAAATTACACTGTGTTTTATGTGATATTTAATATGCTGCTTTCACGAAAGACATAAAATTAACTGAGGACACTGAGACTGCATTCATTTATCCTGTGGCCAACCTGCTTCCTTTCCAGAAGCAGGCCCACTAAAGTAAACGGATATCGACGTAATTTCGTATCGCGAATTTGCATTTAAAATTGTCGCGCAGAATTCATTTTGATCTCTAGCGGTTCAGTGTTGCGCCTACTTTCCAATAGTGAGCCCAGAGCTAAATGAGTATAGTGACTAGGCTATGGGGTGGACGACGGGATAATCGGGGTTCAATTCTCGGCGACGGTGCGGAAATTCTTTTCTTCCATATCGTGGCGAAACCGGCTCTGTGTCCCACCGAGGTTAAAATTATCGGAACGTGAAGCAGCGACCAGCCGAAGGGTAAAGAAATGCGGGAGCTGTACCTCCATAAAAGGGTCAAGGCTCGTAGTGGATTGTAATGCCAATCTCTTATTCATTAATTTTTCAAGAACGGTGCATTGTATCTTTTAGAGAAGTGATACACGATTTCAAATGTAGACCTGCAACTTTTATTGAAAGTACTTGTTACGGTGAATGTATAAGTACCCAGAAATAGGAAGTGAAGGTAATTTATGTGTGTCGCGTAGAATCTGTGACGTGATTGGCTTTGCGTTTTTGGTTCTGTCAATTACCTTCAACAGAATCACAAAGATTAATGTAGAAAACAGAGATGTGCTTTTTTATTCTGGTGTTGCTAAAGGCACGAAAGTGTGCAACCCAAAACCATGTCTAAAACGGGTCTAGGGTCCTGCCTGGTCCTGTTTTCTTTATTACAATTTGTAGTTATTTAGATTTCTAGAAATCAGTGTAACTTTATTATTGTTATTGTTACTAATTTTATTATTTTTGTTGAGATATATTTGTTCTTGTTAATACGATTAGACGACTTTAGGATAAAAGTGTTCAGGAACCATATAGAGCTCATTTTTCCAGGTTTTTATATGAATAATTCATATTGTTGTTACATAACCAGCACAATTTATGACTGCACACCGCATATGCTCTTTTTCCCATCCCTGCATGTTCGTCTGTTCGTGTGTGAATTTTATTCATAAGAATTGTTTTAACTGTTAAAATTCTGGAGACTCATTGTGTTGGGTTCCCGGCAGGTGCGTGGCAGGAAGAGGGGTGCGGGAGCCAAGGGGCGAGATGGGGCCCTCTCCTGGCCGGGCATTGACCATGGCAACCCAGAGGTACCGTATTACAACCCCCTTCCCTCATTATGTTCACTAACAAAAAAAAATGGAAATTATTCCATTTGTGGTAGCTAAATTCATATTTTACTTGCAAAGTTTCTTAGATAAGGAACTGCAGACGGACTTGTCCTTCTGTCGTTATAATTGTAGTTTAGGGACGTCTGACCATTAATAACTTAAACTACTAAGCATAGAATTTATCCGAGAAAATAAAGATGTTGTTTGAGCCGAAAACATAAAAGCAAAGGACCACTTGAGACACTTAAGCATAGATGCGAGAAATTATGAAACCGGCAGTAAACTGGCTAGATCGTGTGGTCTTTTGTGAATACGGCAATGAACTTCGTGTTCCATAGGAATAGGAAACTTCTGGAACGCCTGAAAAACTACCAACTCTTCGATGAATAGCTTTCAGAATATTGTTAGGACCTGCTTAAAAGACAGATACTTTTGTTACTAAGAGCAATAACAAATGCATTATGAAGTAAATTAAGTACTTATTCAGGAATCTGAAATTAATTAGTAGAGAATGAAGAAAATTACATGACGAGGATTCTATAGTTTGTACTATTCATCATACATGAAGAAACCAGGAACTGAATTAAAAGATTGTATGTGAACAATGAGGAACACACAGGAAATTTGTTCAGACATAAATTGTGGAGACATAGGACGAAACAGAGTAATAGGAAGGGGCCAAATTACGTAACATTGAGGTCTATGTTTTTTGCAGTTTGCTACGTAGAGAGTTGTTGGATTAATTAAACAAAATAATGTCAGATGTTGGAAATGTATATACTCGTAACATTGGAGAACAAATATAAATGTAATATGAAAAGTCTTGTTGGTGAAATGTCACAGAAAGCGGAAACACAGAGACGCAGTCATAGATAAAATCTATTATTAATATTAAAATATATCTTGAAGGAATTTGTTGTAGCAGTGTTTCTAAGAGAGAACGCTAGAAATTCTACGTAGAATTCAAACTGAGCTGGAATTTCTTCAGCATCTGACTATGGAACACCTGGGCACCGCAGAATGAAACTATTGAAATTAATTAAATGATGAGATACGGGATATTTTTCAAAGGCAGACGACTCTCGGGTCATCAGATATATTCATGAAATAATCCCAAATTTTCATAAATAAGCACATTGAAATTTTATTAGTTTCTGCCTCAGTTTCTGAATATTTCCGCACACAATGAAAGTAGCACATAAACAATATACATATATTTACACAATAAAGCTCATTAGACATACTGGAAAATCCATACTGAATTTTACTTAAGTATTTTTAACGATAAAAGTAAATTTTCTTTTTAATATATCTGTGTTAATTGTCGACGCCTTCTGTCGGAAAACCCAAATATTTTCCCGAGAGATAATGAGAAGGAGATGTTTCAAAGACGGAAGTTAAGTCAACATTTAAAGTGTGAACTGGATTATGTTTCTAAACGAGGTATTCAGTTTTTGGTATTCGGAGGGTTAAGACGGAATCTGACCAATGCATTTAATACAATAACATCAATTTTATAACTTAAAAACAATAAAAATGGATGTATTTCAAGATCTACGATGAAGGGGCAATTTCACTCAAGGAGCCGGCTCGTGATTATGATAAATACTCTCCTAAACTAATGATTCCCAGTGACAAATCGCTGTTTAGAATCCAAACTGCTTCCGTCTATTATTTAACAAGATTTATTTCTATCCACAATATTAATAATCCAGTTCCCAACTCCGCTCTTTTGTATCCTTTGTGTCTTTATTTGTATGTGAATGTGTGAAGAGAGAAAAAGAGAATGAAAGTGAAAACGTAGTTTCTGGACAAGCACTTCATCATTGTGGCATATAAGTTATTCGAATGACCTTGTCTACGTGCAACAAAAAATTCACGTGACCTACAGAATGAAAGGCTTAGGGATAAGAAGGGAATATGTAACACGTTACATCAGCATCTTTAAAATTATGCAGATCACTGCTTGGTTCCTGTTAGAATATGTATTACTATAAATTCACTGATTCGATGTTTATTTAACGATGCTGCTTCAACTGGATATATGAAATGACCATGGCGAGGACATGTTTAGAGGCAATCGGACTCGCCGGTGTTTAATCTTGGATGATTTAACGACGTTTTTCAACTGCGTAACTTACATTATGTGAGTTTAAGATATGAACGGCGGTTGCCTATACCATTTGCCTGGGGAACTGAAGAAAACTGCTAAAACTCCAGTAAGAATAGTGGGTCTTCAGGGCAAGAATCGAACCGAGGATGTCTAGAATACAGAGCAGCAGTCTAACCATTCGTCCATTAGATTCGTTCTATTCCCTTTCAAAGATTAAGGGGAGACACAGAATGTATGAGTTAACATAACCGGCAATCAAACCGAGATTCGAACCCAAGTTAATACTGTTACATTCACGTTAATCTGCGCGTGTTTTTATATGTTGTTCATGAACTGGAAGTATGTGTTTCAAGATACCCTTTCTTGAAAATTAACAAGTATTATAAAACCTTCGGGGCACCCGGTAGCTTAGTTGGTTGAGGTACTATGCTACTAGCCGGAAAGTCGCGGGTTCCATTTCCGATGAGGTTATTAGATTTTTCAGTTGACCCAATCCTTCCAGCCGCACTGTGGCCGTGGGACTGACTCAGCCTCTAACAGAAATGAGTACCAGGAATCTTCCTGGGGGTAAAGGGCGGCCGGCTCGTAAGGCTGACAAACTCACTGCCATCTGTGAGCCGATTGTCTAGAGAAAATGTGGGAGCCTCGACGTCTCACAACCCTATGGGCCTTCGCGGCCTGTTACAGGGATAGCTTTACCTTCATACAGCCTTCGCTGTTCGCATGGCGAACTGTACAATTCTGAGGTACACGTACAAGCTCCTGTAGTTTTTCATTCCTTTCGTCATATTAACATGTTTATAGCATATATATTATTTATCATGTATCCTCATTGCATCAAATTATTTCCGTTCTTCTCCGTATTAATTTACATTTCAGCAAGAGGTTACTGCAGTGCAATTTGCCTACACTTCAGATGCCCGCCAGTAGATTATATGACATTTTAAGAACCTGTATTGATTTAAAGTAAGTAAAGCTATCCCTGTAACAGGCAGTGGAGGCCCATAGGGTTGTGAGATGTTGAGGTTCCCACATTTTCTAGACAATCGGCTCATAAATGGCGGCAAGGTTGTCAGCCTTACGCGCCGGCCGCCCTTTACCCCCCAAGAATATTCTAAGAATTTACTCGAAATTGAAAGGTGTCAATATGACGCGATGTTCGTACAGAGGTGTACGTGAACTGATTACGTAGTCTCTATAATAATGATCATCTTTTTTCTTTCTAATGCTAGTGGGGTGGGACCAAGTCCCTTGTACTGCGGCCACTTCTGGCCTATTGTACCAGCCCCAGATGATAGGTGAGGGTGATTGTGGAGCAATTGGTGGAATGAAGATTGGCAAGGGAAACCGAGTACTCGGAGAAAACCTGCCCCAGCGCCACTTTGTCCACCACAAATCCCACTGGACCAGACCCGGGATCGAACCCGGGCCGCCGCGGTGGGAAGCCAGCGACTAACCACTTGAGCTATAGCGCGGCCCAATGATCATCTTCCTCGTCCATCTTTCAAGGACATTGTCCGTTTGTTGATGGATGCCGCTTCAGTTGACCAAATGTCTCATCAACGGCCGTCCTTGGTCTCTTATTTCTTTCGAGCTTTACTTCAGTTTCAATTTGGAAAGTGTATTTCTCTTTGTCCTTTTACCGTAGCAAGTCCAGTATTCTTTTTGGCCAAAATTTTAGTTAGTGCTGGTCATATCTTTTAATGCCTAGTTCATCCACAATATTTAGGTTGCTTTTGTAATCATCATGGTATATTCAGATATATGTCTGATGAACCTCAAAGCGACTGTGATATCACATTTGTCTTCGGTATTGTCCATGTTTCGTGGCTTTAGAGATCTGTAATATTGATGTTCCTAATTGTATTATTTGACGGGCCATTAGGTGAATAGGCACGTGTAAGTCGCCAACAAGGTTCATAACAACCATCTGTATCGTTACACTTCTCCTTCCCGATGTTCATATTAATGTGCCTTAGTACAATGCTTCTTTAGAAACTTCCGATGTAGCAAAACGAAGATCAGAGTAATATCATGGCAAGAAGTTGGCTAGACGAGTTTAGGCATTGTACATCTGATGAGAAGGGTAAGCGAGAATGGGTTCGGGGGGGGACCAGGGAACTGCACAGCTGATTTTTGAAGTCGAAAGATTTTTTGCTAGTCAACCTCTGCCCTTGAAAACAGCTGATACACAACCCCCCCCCTTAAATTTTTTTGCGTTATCTTTTCAATGACTGCGCCAAGGAATCCCAGGCCGCATCTGAACTTTTTTATGAATAGATAGCTACAAGATATATCAGTGGACGTAAACAAAGCCGAGGAGCGTCTGAGCTTTGAGAGTTAAGCGACCTAAAAGGTCATTATTCTCCCGACTTGTATACATTTTAGCACAGATCTGTGAAATGCAGTTCCTTGAATTGGTTATTAATTGTTATCGCTTAAAAACATTTAGGCTTATTTTTGGAGCAGCAATCTTAACCTCTGTATTTTCTACACAACGAAATGACGGATCAGAGATATGAAGCCCCCCTTCCACGTAGGACCGACGATGCTCCGTGGATTTTAGTCCGCAAGCGAACTATACCGACCGAGGAACCGCCGCTTGTCCGCGAAGTTAGTGCCAACTTCTGTGGATAGAGGGTGTCGCGTAGTCAGCGCAGCGGATCCCCACTGCCGTTAATCTCGGTTTTCTAGACCGGAGCCGCTATTTTTCCAATCAAGTAGCTCCTCAGTTAGCCTCATGAGGCTAAGTGGACCCCGTTCCAGACCCACTACTTCACAGAAAATCTGGTCCTGCCGAGAATCGAACCCGGAACATCTGGATATGTAGTCAGGAATTCTAACCACTAGACCACAGAGGAGGACC